TGCGCCAGTGTCGTGGATAGCGGCCGAGCTGAGAGACCACCCCCTGCGCACCCCCTGTGGTGTCGAGAAAGTGCCACGCCTGCTGGCCTTTGCGCCAGTGTCGTGGATAGCGGCCGAGCTGAGAGACCACCCCCTGCGCACCCCCTGTGGTGTCGAGAAAGTGCCACGCCTTCTAGCCTTTGCGCCAGTGTCGTGGAATAGGCGGCCGAGCTGGAGCCCACTATCACTGCCCACACCCCTTTGGTGTCGATAAGTGCCAACGCCTGCTAAGCCTTTGCGCCAGTGGGTCGTGGATAGCTGCCGAGCTGAGAAGACCACCCCCTGCGCACCCCCTGTGGTGTCCGAGAAAGTGCCCACGTCTATAGGTTTTTGCGGCCAGTGTCGTGGATAGCGACCGAAGCTGAGAGAACCACCCCTCTGCGCAGCCCCCTGCGGTGTCGAGAAAGTGCACGCTTGCTAGGTTTGGTGCACGCTTGCTAGGCTTTGGCGCGATGTCGTTGGATAGCGGCCGAGCTGAGAGACCCCCCCGCTGCGCACCCCCTGTGGTGTCGAGAAAGTGCCACGCCTGCTAGCCTTTGCGCCAGTGTCGTGGATAGCGGCCGAGCTGAGAGACCACCCCCTGCGCACCCCCTGTGGTGTCGAGAAAGTGCCACGCCTGCTGGCTTTGCGCCAGTGTCGTGGATAGCGGCCGAGCTGAGAGACCACCCCCTGCCCACCCCCTTTGGTGTCGAGAAAGTGCCACGCCTGCTAGGCTTTGCGCCAGTGTCGTGGATAGCGGCCGAGCTGAGAGACCACCCCCTGCGCACCCCCTGTGGTGTCGAGAAAGTGCCACGCCTGCTAGGCTTTGCGCCAGTGTCGTGGATAGGGACCGCGGTGAGAGACCACCCCCTGCGCACCCCCTGTGGTGTCGAGAAAGTGCCACGCCTGCTAGGCTTTGCGCCAGTGTCGTGGATAGCGGCCGAGCTGAGAGACCACCCCCTGCGCACCCCGTGTGGTGTCGAGAAAGTGCCACGCCTGCTAGGCTTTGCGCCAGTGTCGTGGATAGCGGCCGAGCTGAGAGACCACCCCCTGCGCACCCCCTGTGGTGTCGAGAAAGTGCCACGCCTGCTAGCCTTTGCGCCAGTGTCGTGGATAGCGGCCGAGCTGAGAGACCACCCCCTGCGCACCCCCTGTGGTGTCGAGAAAGTGCCACGCCTGCTAGGCTTTGCGCCAGTGTCGTGGATAGCGGCCGAGCTGAGAGACCACCCCCTGCCCACCCCCTTTGGTGTCGAGAAAGTGCCACGCCTGCTAGGCTTTGCGCCAGTGTCGTGGATAGCGGCCGAGCTGAGAGACCACCCCCTGCGCACCCCCTGTGGTGTCGAGAAAGTGCCACGCCTGCTAGGCTTTGCGCCAGTGTCGTGGATAGCGGCCGAGCTGAGAGACCACCCCCTGCGCACCCCCTGTGGTGTCGAGAAAGTGCCACGCCTGCTAGGCTTTGCGCCAGTGTCGTGGATAGCGGCCGAGCTGAGAGACCACCCCCTGCGCACCCCCTGTGGTGTCGAGAAAGTGCCACGCCTGCTAGCCTTTGCGCCAGTGTCGTGGATAGCGGCCGAGCTGAGAGACCACCCCCTGCGCACCCCCTGTGGTGTCGAGAAAGTGCCACGCCTGCTAGGCTTTGCGCCAGTGTCGTGGATAGCGGCCGAGCTGAGAGACCACCCCCTGCCCACCCCCTGTGGTGTCGAGAAAGTGCCACGCCTGCTAGGCTTTGCGCCAGTGTCGTGGATAGCGGCCGAGCTGAGAGACCACCCCCTGCGCACCCCCTGTGGTGTCGAGAAAGTGCCACGCCTGCTAGGCTTTGCGCCAGTGTCGTGGATAGCGGCCGAGCTGAGAGACCACCCCCTGCGCACCCCCTGTGGTGTCGAGAAAGTGCCACGCCTGCTAGGCTTTGCGCCAGTGTCGTGGATAGCGACCGAGCTGAGAGACCACCCCCTGCGCACCCCCTGTGGTGTCGAGAAAGTGCCACGAGCTGTGCTGTGCTGTGCTGAGCTGAGCCGTGCTGGGCTGTGCTGAGCTGTGCTGAGCTGAGCCGAGCTGTGCTGTGCTGAGCTGAGCTGTGCTGTGCTGTGCGAAGGTGAGTTGAGCTGAGCTGAGCAGTGCTGTGACGAGGGGGGGAAGAGTGAAGTGTGTGTGTGTGTGTGAGTGAGGGGAGGAAGAAAGACAGAGGAGGGCGGGTGTGGGTGAGACGCGGGTGCGGCGCGGGTGGGAAGAAAACCAGAACCCCACGAAGCATGTGGGGAATAGCCATAATCCGACTCATCATCATCATCATCATCATCATCATCATCATCATCATCATCATCATCATCATCATCATCATCATCATCATCATCATCATCATCATCATCATCATCATCATCATCATCATCATCATCATCATCATCAGCATCATCATCATCATCAGCATCATCCCCAGCATTGTTATTATCGCCATCATCATAACAAGTAGCATCATCACCAACAA